ATACATACTCATTGGCCTCGAATATTCTCTCCTCTTTGCTCCTCTCTCCTGAGTACTCTGTTCTCTTTCGGAGTCTCTCTGGTCGTCTGTAAGGCCCAGTTTGTCCTAAAACACTCTCATCTATTTCCTTCTTAACAGTTTCTACTCCCTGAAAGGAAAAATATCCTTGTTAGGTTGGATGGTGCAGCCATAGCTGCTCTGGATGACATCAGAACATACAAACCCTCAGACATATTCTCCAAAAAAAAAAAAGGGCTTAAACAAGGCAGTTTGTTCCCAAATCCCACAGGACTTATCTCCAGGAGACATTTGCTGCTCTACTCCACAAACACAGACACCAGTGTCTCCAGTAACACATTGCAGCAGCTCAGCTCTTACAGCCTCACACCTCCCCAGGGCTGCTGAGGGAGTGCCAGACCTGCAAGACACATCTCCTGACTTCATCAGCTCCTTCCAGTGCCTCACAAGGTCTTGCTGTGGGAGTTGTGTGGTTAATTTTATCCTCAGCACAAAGCTTACACCTAACTTCCCTGTTCAGAGCTGTTCCCATGGAGCTGGACCCTGTGGAAGCCCAGGATGAGGTACCTGAGAGATGGCTTTGAAGGCTGCTGTCTTGCCCAGTTTCTCCCCTCCCTTTGTCACAGACTCTGCAGATTGTTTGGCTGTTTTGGCTGCTTCTTCCACTCCTTCTTTTATCTTCCTGCCAATGTCACTTTTACTCACTTCATCCAAACTCTGCAACAAAACACAACAGAAAAGGTCATTCCCCCTTTGTGTCCTGTCCCTCCATCCATTGTCCCAAGTCCCTCTGCAGCTCTCTTGGAGCTCCTTTAGGCACTGGAAGGGGCTCTAAGGTCTCCCAGGAGCTTCTCTTCTCCAGTCTGAACACTCCCAGCTCTCTCCAGCAGCTCCATGTCCTTATTTTGAGGCCTCAGAGCTGCAGATGGGATCTCAAGAACATCTCTTTTCCCTCTACATCCATAAGGATCATCCCCCAGCCTCCAAATCCCAGAGGAATCACTGGGTTGTGCCTGTGCTCTGACCACACTCTAAGAAACCAACCCATTC